TCATTTTTAATTTATCTATTAATAAAAATATTATTTGATTTTTAAATAATTTTTAATTTTTTATTAATTTTATAAATATTAAATAATTTAAAATTTTTTACATACAAATTTTAATAAATTTTTTTAATATTTATTTTATCTTTTCATTATAATTCATTTCACCGTCACTGTTTTTTATATTCAAACATATATTCTATCATTAATTTTAATCTCATTATTATAATAACTAATATTATCTTTATCATTGTTTTCAATCTTATTAAAATATATGTTATCATCCATTTAAATGGACCCTTGGACTAACAAAAATAAAAACTTTTGGATTGCAAATTAATCATGAGTTAATAACACCAGTAATCATTAAACTTTAACTCAAATTTTACTTTGATCCCTAAACTTTAAAAAATTTTAATCAAAACTCTAATTGTCCAAAGTTATCTTATTTTGGTCTTTTCTTCTATTGAACTGTCTAAATTAATGGAAAATACCAATTAACATCATGTAATAATATCAATTAGCATCTCACGTAACAAATGAAAGATCAAATTAAAATTTTCTCAAAGTTTAGAAATAAAAAATAAAATTATCTCAAAATTTTATATATTTCATACATGTTTTATAAAAATATTAAATTTAAAATTATATTTACATTTTTTTGTTATAATATAACTTATTAGATAGATTTTTATTCTAAATAGAAAATAGATATTTAAAAATTAAAATTGAGTTGAAATTTTCAAATTCCTTTTTTTTTTTAATTTAATACATTTAAAAATTTTTATTAAAAATATTATTTTACTCATAAATCATAATAAAACATATTATTTTATGTCCAAAAATTTATTTTTTACAATATTAAATATCTTTTATTTTTTAAAATATATATTTTATAAAATACATTTTATAAAAAATAAAATAAAAAATATTTTAAATTATATTTTTTATTTTATATGAATATAAAGTTTTTATATTTTTGAGTATATTAATAAATCTATTTTTGAAAATGATCTAAAACTTTTTACGTAATATTTTAACATAATATAAAGTTTTTATTTAATTTCTTAAACCGAAATAAAAATTTTTACTTAATTTTTTAAAAATGATAACGTAATTTTAACAAAATTATTTTAAAATTTTCAACTTAATTTTAATTTTTTAAAAATCTAATTTCTAATAAAATATTATTTTATTGATAAATCATATCATAATAAAAATTAAAAATATTTTAAATTACAATATTTTATAACATTTATTTGAAATGTATAAAAATCAATTTTTTCTTGAATTATTTTTATCTTTTCCTTCATTTATTTATTATAAAATATGTTTTAAAAAGGAAAATAAAAGATATTTAATATTTTAAAATATATATTTTATGGATAAAAATAATATTTTTATTATGATTTATGAGTAAAATAATATTTTTAATAAAAATAATTTTTTTGTTTTTAAAATGATATTGAATTTTTAAAAAAATAAAATTTTAACTTAATTTTAATTTTTAAAAAAACTATTTTTTATTAAAAGCAAAAAGCATAACTATTAAATTATATTATAACAAAAAAATATAATTTTAAATTTAATAATTTATAATATATATATATATGAAATATATAAAATTTTGATATAATTTTATATTTGATTCTTAAACTTTGAGATAATTTTATGTTAACTTCTCAATTATTATGTAAAATGTTAACTGGCATCATTACATTAAATCAATTGATATTTATCATCAATTTACATGATTTTATAAACGAAAGAATTAAAATAAAATAACTTTTGATAATTAAAGATTCAATTAAAATTTTTTAAAATTTATACTCCAAAATAAATTTTTGGCCAAAGTTCAAGAATTACGGTACTATCCTCTGGAAACAAAATTAAGACCTTTACTATGAGAAAAATGAAAATGGAAGAGAAGCCTACTTTTCCTTTTGTCAGTGCAAGGACAGGGAGCTTGGGCAGAACCAGCAGGATTCACGGTGGGCTGCACAGTGGAATCCAATGCTAATTGAAGCAAGGCTAGCTTCATCGTGGAACGTGCCTCCCCCAGATAAACCTTAATATGGTGCAAGGCTTCATCTAGAGTATTGATCTGCAACAAGCTCTGAGAGGCGTTGGGATCCCAAAGAGCGGATTCGATGATGTATTTCCATTTGAATAAATGACGACCAAGAAGCTGGCTAGGCCTGAAATCCTCTAAATTTCGAATTCGGAACCCCCAAATCCGCTGAACGGCGTCGGAGAAGCAGGGCCAAAAGAGAGGCAAAGCCGTGAGGGTGCAGTGGACAGCGATGGCTAAAACGGCAGCCCGCATGGAATCGGAGGCAGGGAGGCCTTGCTGGCGATCGGGTTGTTCGATATCTAGAGGGAATCAAGAATGCCCTTGGGGACGGAGCCATTGGCGGTTCGTTCCCCAATGGACTGGAGGATGGAGGCTTTGTTGAGGAGACAGAAGGTGGAGCAGTCATCTTTCTTTTCTTTTAGGTTGTTTGAGGGTTAGTTTGGAATCAATCGCATCCCCAGCGAGAATCCAGTTATAATGAAAAGATGTGCCCACAACAGCATTTAAATCCAAATAGAATTGTGATGAGGTTCGATTTCTATCGATTTTTCACTGGAATTTGAGGTTTTAGTTCATAGCCACCACAACTTCTACATTTTTTTTTTCATTTTTCTCCTTTTAAGTTCAGAAATTTTAACTTTTTTTTTTTTTTTTTTTGAGTATTTTATTACAAATTGTAAAATAATTTTGTTAATTTATTATAAAATAAAATTTATTATATAATAAATTAATTAATTAATAAATTTTATTTTTATATAATAAATAATTATTTATTTATTAATAAAACTAATATTTGATTTAAAATTAATTTACTAAATTTTAAATAATTTATTAATTTTATAAATATTAAATAATTTAATTTTTTTTATTATATATTATTTTTAATCAATGTTCTTAATGATTTTTTTTCTTATTATAATTTATCTCATTAATTTCATTATTTATACATTCAAAAATATATTTTATAATTAATTTTAATTTTATTATTATTTATAATCTTATTAAAATTAATTTTATCACTCGTCCAAATAAACCACGAGTTTGAGAGAGTTCTTAACCGATGAAACAATAGAAGGGCTGAAAAGGAAAGAATAATCGTGCATCTCTCTGCTCTGCTCTACGGTTGGATTTGACTTTTGTCAATCCCTAACAACTTGTTTGTTTGACAGTAGAACAATTTGAAATAACTTCCAACAGATACGAGAAACGCCAATCAATTATTCACCTTATTTTTATTTTAATTTACTTAAACGCTCCAAACTTCACACGGCACTATCTTTTCGATGCCTTTGGAGAGCTGAGATGAAGAAATATTAACTCCTCCATATTTAAAAATACTATAAACTCGGTTAGCCGGCGTTTATTTAGTGAATTTTTAAGTTTCGAGAGAAAAAATAATTTAAAGAAAAATGTATAATTTTTTTAGTTTCATTGATGTACAGAATATAAAATAAATGTATAATTTTTTAGTTTTATTGATGTAGAAAATATATAAGGTTTTTTGTTTGATTTAAAAGAATGTAATGTTGTTTAATAAAAATTTTTATTATACTATTTTTATTATAAGCGAACAACATGCGATATTAATAACAAGTTATTTATGAATAATATATTAATTTTATTGAAACTAAATAATTTTTGAAAAAATTTATATTTTTAATAAATATAATTTTAAAATCTTAATTACTATTCTAATGTTGATTTTATAAGTAATAATATTAAATAAATGTATTTTAAATTTTATACATAATAATGTTAAGTTAAAATTTTATATGTTTTATTTTAATTTTATTATGAGTAGTAACATTCATTACGTTTTTTATCTTAAAGTATGATTTTTATTAAAAATTTTAAAATTTATAAAATAAAGTTTTAACATTCATTATATTTTTTTTTATTTTAAAAACATGATCCTTATTAGAATTTTAAAATTGTAAAAAAAAAAAAATTTCAACGTCCATTATTTTTTGCTTATCTTAAAAACACAATCTTTGTTAAAATTTTAAATTTTTTTAAAAAAAATTTTAGCATGTATTATATTTTTTATTTTAAAAATTATATTTTTGTTAAAATTTTAAAATTTCGAAAATAAAATCCTAACATCAACTACATTTTTTTATCTTAAAACTCCATTTTTCTTAAAATTCTAAAATTTTGAAAATAAAATTTTAATATCCACTATATTTCTTAACTTAAAAACATGATTTTTATTAAAATTTTAGAATTTTAAAAATATAATTTATCTTTTAAATCTCAATATAATTAATATTTAAAATAATATTAATTCAAATAATTTAATATTATTATATTTTTAATTTCAAATAATTTAATATTATTTAAAAATACACATATGTTAACAATTATTGTATTTTTATTAAACAATTTCAAATCAATTGTACAAATTAAATACAAATTTAATCCTAATGAATAAGAATTCAATACAAATAAAAACTGAATTAATTTTATATTTATTGAAAAATAAAATTTAAGCAAAGGCATTACAAGGTATCATAAGATGAAATTTGAAATGCTCTATGCATTTTAGTTCGGATCTTGATTTATCATGCAATTTTTTTATCGTTGAAGAACAAAATAAATCATAAAACCCATTTATCCAAGGCAGAAATTAAATAAAATTTGCTTTTCATCAAAAATCGTAAAAAACTTCAAAGAGATAAAAATTTATGATTCAATGTAATTTTTTCATTTCTGGACATTTTTGAAAATTTTCAAAAGTCTCAAAAAATCACGTTACAAGAACCAAATATAAAAATCACATTACAAAAAAAAAGATTTAATTCATTATCAATCTATAAATTCTATTTATATATTATCAATTAATGAAATGATATTACTTCATTAATAAGTAAATATTAATCTTTAAAATAAATATAAAACAATTAATATTTTTTTTTTTAAATTATAACTTCTCCATATTTAAAAGTACTATAAGCTCTATTACTATTTTGTTTCATTTCTGTGGCTCTAAAAAATAAAAATGATGGTAACGATTACAAAGGCAGTAATAAACTTAGTAGTAGCAGTAGCCGCTAAACATGGATGTAATGTGATGTTACGGCGGAGCAATCCCCTTCTTCACCAGCATATCATATACTCTATCGGTCTTGCTTGCTTCGATCTTGAACAAGCCTTGAGCATCAGCTTTCTTAGTAACATTGCCATTGAAGATCTCTTCCGACATAATCTGTAGCATCCTCAGATAAATAGGTGGCGGTAACCGAATCTCACTGCACAGCCGCTTCTCCTGTCATCAATCCAACACAAAAACCGTCAACAAATACACTTCACTCAAGTTCAAGAGTGCATGCAGATTGCAAGCAAACTCCTGCATCAAGGCTAAGGATCTCAACACCCGCTAATAAACAACCCATACTGTAATTTACGAATGCCATTGTTTAAAACCAAGATGAAAATCTAGTAATTACAGAATAATATTCTTACAGTTTCAGATAGTAACTGGGTTTCAGCGAAACCCATTATGTCCAAATCATTAGCATAGCTTGAAGAAGCTTGTGCTGTTGGTCTTGAATTTGAGTCCTTGCCTACAGACTCTGAAGCCATGAGCGAGTTTGGGGCTCTCTGGCCACTTGGACCACCCTGGGCACCATCTTTTGCTCTGTGACAACTCTCTTCAGCTTCCCTTTTCCTTTTGTGTTCAAGATATCTATCTGCCTCAGCTGATGTACGACAACCGGCTGCTTGGGCTTCCTGCATATAATTATTTCCAGTGACAAAAATCAAAGACCATATTATGAAAATTACATATTTAAATGAGGTAGAAGGAAGGAAGAAAAAGTAGCCAAGCAGAATACAGGGTTATAAAGCAGCTATACCAGGAAGGATTAATACCTTAAGTTCTTCAATTCTTTTTAAGGTCCGGTGCTCAGCAATAATAGTCTGAAGCAATTCCTTGTGTTCTTCCTTCGAATGAAAGCGCATGAAGACATCATATCGTCGGCAAAGTGCCCTCTCCTCAGGTGATAGGTCCTTTTCAAAAGGATTAGGATATAACAAATTTCTTTCCAGTATGAAATCCTTTCTACGCTTCCTCTCATCCAGTCTGGCAGTAGAATTATTTCAAATATGAGGTAGAAAATGCATTGCACATATCTTCCTATTAACTAATATCAGAAATGGTTTTTTTTTCCTGGATGAAAAATCTAAAAGGGAATCAATTACATCACAACAGAACTTCCAAGAGCCAAAATGTACCAAGGCATAAAATCCCTAAACTTTTACTGTATCTTCCAATAACCAAACAGAACTTCCAGGTAAATGAAAGGCCAGCCAAAAACTCATTAACAGAAAATGTTTGGAACATGACTTCATCCCACTAACAAAGTCCTTCCCCAACCCCTTTTTTTATTCTAATGCAATTTTATTCCCGTGTGTTATTATGGGCTTTACTTTTTTACATCTTACAAGTTTACAAGGACAGAATTAACAATCTCTCCAGCATGAATCAAATTACCAAATGCCTACCTCTTTGAATAGATACGCAACACTCGCAGCTTAAGCTCATGCTCTTCCTCAGTATCAGTGTCTTTAAATTCCATATCAGCCAGTAACTGCTCAGCATCATTGTCATACTCTGGATCAAACTCCTGCCTTTTGGGGTTATAACCACTCAACTCAACTAAAGATGGACCATCGTTTCCCAAAGAATTTGGCTTCTTTCCCCCAAAATTTCTGTCAATTTGAGGATCTACAAGACAATAATAACAATGAGCTAAATACTGGCATTGCAATATTAATATTATGATTATGGCTCCACCCTCATATAAACTGGACTGGCAGATAACAACAGATGCCAATGTTAAGCAAGCATCATATAGATGTGCCAACAATAGTTTGTCATGTTCTCTGGAATGTGAATAGAGAATCAGGAGGCAGTCTTTCAGAATGCAACTTTGACATAGACTCAGACAGCAGGAAACTCATTAGGATGACAACATTAGCCTTTGATTTATTGGGTCATTAGTGCAAACGAGGTCACCATGCCTACCTGATGGTACCAGAAGTTTTTAAACTGTATAAAATGTATGAAACTACGAATGACTCAGTTGCACATGCGCTATATATTAGTGGAATAATGATTGTAAAAGGGAACTGAGAGGAAGTAAAAGATATTAGACCTTCCATTTTAACATTGCCATCTTTAACCTGGGCCATGTTTGATGCCTTCTTAACAGCTGCTGATGCTGTACTGCTACTGCTAGAACGTACTCCAGACTCTACATCTGAAGTTTGAAGAAACAAGGCAAGGAGCATAAGGATCACAGTGATGACATTATTTGTGTACATATTGAATAAATCACAACTACCTTGTCATGAATAAATCAAGTATCTTCCAGAAGGAGAAAAAAAATAAATCAAGGCTCACCTGCATTTAAGGCAGATAGTAATCGGCCGGAACTACTGCCTTCAACTCTGGGTAAATTAATAAAATTCACATAAGAAATAGCATAGGTGAAAAAGAGGATACAAACAGAGAGGAGAATGGTAGTCATACTTGACTCTTGAAGGTGAAAAAGGAGATTCTTCTTTCACTGGAAGCTCCCCAAGCATAGAAGATCCTGAGACACTTGCAAGAAATTAATGATAAGAACAAGCATTAACTGAAGGCATCAAATTATAATCAAGAAAATTTTCTGTAGCAAATGTAGCCTGCCTCAAACAATATTCAATCTTGTTAGCTTGTCTAGAGATAAGAAATATTCTACAATGTAAACGCATGATAATTTCAAGCAAAAAGGGAAAGAACATACCATTGAAGATTAGAGAAAGGAGATACGAAAATTGACACTAACCTTTCTCAGCATGCCCTTTAGCCATTGCAAGAAGCTCTTTTCTATTTTTTCCAACAACATGAGACATATCCTTTGAAGAAATAAAGTTGTCAAAGCTTAACTATATCCATCAAAAGGCACAAGTAAAAGGAAATTTGATAGTTTTAAACTCTCATACCGGAAGAGGGAAGAATGGGGACTTCATATAAACATTAGTATAGTGGTCAATGCACTTTTCCTTACTCTTTGTCCCTACATGCTCAGCAACTTCTGCCCAGTTTCCGAGGCCATACATTTCAATTCCCTAGAATTAGAAAAGTTAAAACAGAAACAAGATTGATTTCCTTAGTTATTCCAAATATGAAATACAGGATGGAATAAATCAAGGACTGAACATAACTTTTTTCATTGCTTTAACAATGAGGATGAACATAGAAATACCTCTAGAAGCAATATTTCATCATCTGCATTCCAGTCAAGACAGAAAAGGGGATAAGATAAATTGTCCTGTTAATTAAGACTGTTGTTAGCACTGAATCATAACATAACCAAAGCTACAGCAACAGATATGTGATGCCAAATAAGTAAGAAAGAAAAACTAAAATCAGGAAATAGGAATTGCTTCAATACTGCTAAATGGATGTAAAAGATTTTGATAACAGATTTTCTCCAACACAGGAAAAAGTTCATCAAAAACCTATTTATTAACGACATAAACCAGCAAAAAAAATTTTTGACAATTCAATAAGTTATCAGGACAGGAAAAAAATGTTTCCAGAAGGCTTTTACTAACCATGACCCTGTAAGAATGGTTGCTTTTATGGGGTGTAACCTCAGCTCCAACAGAAAAGCACTCTATACACAGGTCAAAATCAGGACACATAGCACACTTGATACGGATATTTCCTGTGATGTCTTTGTTGCAATAATTGCAGTGGTATGAAGCCTTTTTCCCTTCACTAGTTCCTTGACCTAGCTCCAAAAAGGATATAAGAAGGAAAATAAAATGGCAAAAGGTCACAATACCTTGTGAATGAAAAAAGAGATTATCTCTAAAGGCTTAATACTTAAGAGTACAATGGTATTCTGAAGAACAAAAGCCTTTTAGCATTTTTAGGAAGGACCAATAATTTTAAAATAACCACAAAATCAACAGTACCATGCCCTCTAGAATCTAGATAGAAGCTACTAATAATATGTATCTTACCATTTATTAGAAGCTTTACACATACAATGGGCATAGCCAAGCTACTTCGGATAGAATTATGGGTCAAGTTTTAGCAACTCTAGCCAGGTCTCAACTAAAGATAGAATATTGCAAAAAACAATATCAACCAAGTGATATGAAGCATCAACTTTGTTAAGTGTTTGGCTGCACACTCTCTACATTCAGATTCACAGGATCTTTAACCACTTAAGGTCCCACTAGGTCCTGGAAGGAGTGATCTGGAAATTCCAAATATTTAGCAATTTTATTTTTCTCATAAAAATAAAATGCCCACTGTAGTCTCTTGAAACCACTACTGCACTTGTAGCGAAAAAATTCTATCATTGCCCTGGAAAATGGCCCTTGACACACTCTCCATAGTTGCACTAGTATTAAATTTCCATTACCAGATAAAAACACTGAAATGGTGGTTATCTCATTTTTGCCATATAATTGCCCCATAAAAAGAACTTTCTGCTGCAAAATTCACTCTGGGAGGGATTGCATTTTAAAACTACATAATGGTGGAAAAGTACCTGATGTTGAAGATTCTAAATTTTCTCCAGCAGAGGCATTCTTTTTTCTTCTTGATCTGCAGAACAAAAAAATGGGTACTTAAATGTAGCGCACCAAAAAACCCTCATTACATGATTATACCACAAAAAGAAATATAAAGAAAAATACTGTCAATCCGACTAAAAATTAATAATTGCACAACCAAAGGGAGGAAAAAGTTGAAAGCTGTCAAAAAAAAAGCAAGGCAACAAAATGTCCATCCTTTGTCATAAAAATTCACTACCGCAAGAGAAGTTAGATTCTTGTTATGTAAGATTCACCATAAGAAAGAAACCTTATAGTTGATGAACTAACAATCCGGTATAATTAAATTGCAGATTAGATAATGAAATCTATTAACACAACTAGAGGAAAGCAGAGAAAAATTAGTTTCTAACAGCAATTCTGACATATAAGATTGTTGTAGTAAATAAATACATGATAATTATCCCCGATCATAGCCTCTGTTCAAGTTATCACTTTATATTCTGCAATTTTTAGTTGTAACGAATTATGTGAGTTGCATTTCCATCTTGCAACGTATTTATTCACCAAAATAAACATGTTAAACAGTCCCTGTGTTATTTTTTCAACTAAAAAATGAAGCAACTAAAAATGTAACGGTTCAAACTCAAAGTCTCAAACCAACATGTCTAATTTTTGAAAAGTAATCTTAGCCCTTCACCATGAAAGCTCAAATGCAGATAAATTCGTTAAAAAAAAAAAAAGTAATCATAATTTAAAGGCAATGATTCTTGAAAATGGGAAAAGAAAGAAAAGATGGCAAACCTCTGGGTGGGATCCTCATCAGCAGAGTGAAAATTCCCGCGAGAACGACCCATTGAAATTTGAAGTTGAGCGAGTTCGCGTTTACCTGTATAATTAAGCGTTTCTTTTGCTAAATAGCAGCAACATCAGAGCCTGGTATTTACGCAACGGCACTAAACCCTAGTATCTAAGGAAAGTGTGAAACTTTGTCAAAAATTATGGTTAAGTAAGACCAGCTTCCTAAAAGGGGTACTGAATTGGATGGGTTCAGATCAATTTCATAAATCTCTCAGATTTTTTTCAATCTCTTTTCAGGATTTGGAATTGAATGAATTGTGTTGTTATCTTGTTTTAGTTTGTAGCATACTAATACTTAGTATGGATAAAGTAAATTGAAAATACATCAACTCTGCAATTTAGGGATTAATTCCATTATTCATGCAATATATATTTTTTAAGTAATAGAATATTTAATAATTTTAAATTTTAAATTTTATTTTTAAAAATTTTTAGACTATCCTTTCTTTATGAAATAATAATAATAAAAAAAAACACCAGGTAACTTTTCTCTTAGAATTTTCTTCTCTGTTATAATAGTTGATCAGTCAAAAATCTTATAAATTGCTAGTTTGTTTTGGTGTATGTGGTGATGTCAAGAGTTGATGAGAGAAGTGATAGAGGTGGAGTTTAAGAATGAGGCAAAGTTAGAAAAATAAATTTGTGAAAAATAATAATGTATGTATCTATAAAAATAAGTGACGTGAGTAAATAATAAAATTAAAGTGTTACTGTGTGAGGTTGTATTCATTGTAAAATAATGTACACATCAATTATATTTATTGTTTGTTCACGTAAATAAAAAGATGGGTATAAAGTTATTATGGTATCCTGAAAGAAAAGTAATGTGGCATTTCAATTCTTGTAACAAAATACCGTAATTGATATCTGAGAAGAAAAATTTTAGAAATTTTGTTTATTTGCGATGACTATCTTGTTTGGCAGTTGATTTATATACATCGAAACTCCATTTTATGCCTTTAACAAACTAATGATGATGCAAAAAAAAAAGAAATAAGTTAGCTTGGTTTTGACTTTTTTTCTTCGGTCTGGTTCCGATACTTTCCTAAGTTAGAAAGTAGTGGGACTAAACGGCGAGGCTTTTTTGCTTGGAAAAAAACAGCGACGGATTTCCTTCCATATTTCCATTTCTTTCTTTTCCACCATCTGTTTCACGGGTCCACTTACCATCTGAAATTCAAAATGCATCCGAAGAAAACAAAGAAATTTTTTTATAATTGAGATGATTAAATTTTAAATTTTAATTATTAAATTAATAATTATTATTTTATTAGCCTTGATTATGCTATCATGAATAAAAAATAGAGAAAATTTCGTAAGGTTAAATTGAATTGGACTTGAAACTTTACCGTAAACATGCAAGTATAATATCTATAACAAAAAAATTAATTTAAATAAAAGAAAAAAATAATACTCCAGTGAGATTTAATACTTTTACATCTTTAATAAAACTGTTTTTTTTTTTATTTATAAACTTCATGAAAAATGTTGAATTGCGCCTCAAAACCTAAATTTGGATTTTAGATTTCAAATCTTTTGATTTAAAATCATGCTTTTTATTTGAATGAATCAAAGATTTATTATTTTTTTTTTAGAAACAAAAATAATTTTAATAATTAGGCTGTATAAAACAATTGTCAAATCCAACTATTTAAGAAGTTCTAGCGGAGGCCAAATCCAACTTTTTCAAAATTATTCCTAAGTAATGATATATTTGGATCCCAAACTACAAATAAAGGTCCATAAATATCATTTGAAATTGAGTGGCCTTCGTCTTTAATGAGTGGTTTAATTACACCTGTTCATTGTTTTAAATTAAAGCAGCAATACACAATTCATAAAAACCAAAGAGAGAAACGGTATCACTATTGGTTAAACTTAAAGCTGCCTTTACTTTTTTATTTATTTATATCTAATTTTATTAATAATAATAAAGTGAAATTAATAGAAATATATTTTATGCATACCTATAGTGTTTTTCCTCTTCTTAGGCTTAGAATTAATGGGAGCCGATGATCCTGCTGGAGGCGTCTCGTTGATTAAATTAGGCCCTGACGTCTGCAGCAGTAGTGTCTTTGAAACTTCCTCATCACCCCCCTCAATTGATATCTCCATAGCAATCAAAGTTGGTGCCGGAGCCATTGGCTCTTGATCACCATCACTTAACTTCGCCTTCTTCCCATCAATGGTGGACTGCATTTCTGAAGAGTCCTCACTGCTATTTGCAGATGAAGATATTGGTTGCATTACCGGACTACTTATACGAAGTAGAGATAAGAAGTTTGACAATGAGAGTTGTGCGTGAACAAAAATATGTACCAACTTGAACTTTGATGGAAGGTTAATGGAGCAAGAAAATGGAATAAATCTCTTTGATATATATCTTACCTTCTTATAACATATATGTATAAAAATTTCTAAAAAAGTATAACTTAACGATCTGTTATCACAGAATTTTATTTTCCTTAGTGTATAATCATACATATATATTAACGATGTTTTAATGGTTGTTGAACAATGCAGTACAGTAATCATTATTATCTTCCCAGAAACAAAAAATGAAAAGAACGTAGATTTATTACTTTAAATGCATAATCTGTACCTTTTTCATTTCATTTAATTTGAAATTATTTCCATTTTTTTTTCTTTGATCATGCTTTCAACTTGAATTTCATTGTGAAAGTATTTGGGGAGGAGCGAACCTCGTATTTCCTTTCTCTAGGTAATACTTCACATGTATTGTTACTTTGTTAGGAATAGTTTTGATTGCCTCTTCCTGCTAGTAGTTCAAATACCAATAGCTATGATTTATTAGGTTTTGTTTATTTTTTATTTCAAATGAAAAATATAAAAGTGCATTTGGATAACAAAGTAAAATTAAAAGCAAAAACAAATTTTTTTTATTTTTGCTAGCTATTTTATATAAAACCAACAAATTTTATAGTAAAATGCGTGTTTATATTCATTTTAGTAAAGGAGTAAACATACTTTCAGTCTTTAATTTTATTTTTGGGGAATGCTAGCGGCACCCATTCCCACAGTCTCTTTACATTACTCGAGCAATTAAAAGGCGCACGTCATTGTATGCAAACCTGTTGCTTGAACTTCCGGTAAATAATTTTTTATTTATCAGAGAGGTTAATTAGTTAATTTTCTACATGCTACCGGAACAAAAAAAATTAGTTTTATGGAGTATAACATTTTTTTTAGTATTACTATTTTAAACTTAATTACTTTCATGTTTAATTTTATTACAATAGTTTAAAATCTAAAGTTTTAAAAATCTAAGTTTAGTTTATATGTAAAAATTTTTGTTGAACATTTTTTTGGATAGATAGATAAGAGATTTTTTAACAGGAAATAAACTAAAATTATTTAAACGTAAAACAAATAGCATTGGAATATTAATTAAAACTGGAAAGTATTTGGACATCAAAATCGAAGTTAAAATATTATTCTTTTTATATTTTTATTATAAATTATTAATATATATTTTTATTTTAAATTATAAATATGTTAATTAATACAGTATTTAAAAAATTATTTATCCACCATATATTATTATTTAAAATGAATCATATTAAAACAAGTATCTTATTAATTAATAGATTTATAATTCAAATATTACATAAAATATTTTAAATTTTAGATACTATGTTAAATATTTTATTATAGTTTAGAGATTAATTATGACATTAACCTTTTTTAAAATATTTTTTAATTTTGATTTTTTTAATAATATTTTAATAAAATCTTATTTAAATTCAATGAAATAAATGTTATATATTAGTTTTATTGAAATATTGTTAATTATTTTTTACTTTAAAAATGATTAATGGATAGCTGATTTATTAATTATTTTATCAAAGGAAAACTAACAACATTATTTTTAATATACACTAATAAATATAAAAATTCAATTCAATTATAATATAATAATAGAAATAATTTGTAATAGCCAAGAAAAATTTTCAAAAGATAATTTAATGTTAAATAATTAAAATAAATTAAAATTTTGTGTTATATATATTATTATTATTAAGTTAATTTTTTTAAAAATAAATTATACTTAATTTAAGTTCAAGTTATTTCTAATTTAGGTTATTTTTGGATTTAATACAATTTGAGTTCGAGTTGTTTTTGGGTTCAAATTAGACCGGTGTGGATTATTGACATTTTATGGTCAAACGAATTTAATCAAGTTTTGATTTGGGTAAGTTGGATGAATTTTTCAAGTTTAGATTAGAATTGACGAGTCTAGTGTCACAAGCTAAGCTTTCTTTAGATGAAGCAATAGATTGTGCAATACTTAGATGGATGCTTCCATATAAGTCAATCAAAAATAGTTAAAGATAGCTCAATATCTGAATATGCAACTAATAAATCACAAGTTAATCTCAAGAATGCACAACGATATACCAAGACGTAATAGGAGCACACCATGACAAACTCGATATTCTCGTAAGAAAAAATGTGTTTTATTAATATCAAGAATAGTACAACAAGTACAAAAAAAAGTATTGAGTCTTTCCACCATCATTGGAGCTAGAAGGGCAGTTCTAGATGAGTAGTCTAGCACGTATTTCAGCCAGTGAGACAGCTCCACAACACGTTGATTGCTCACCTCCTTTAAAGAGTTTAAGAGATTTTATAGTTATGCTACCAAGAATCGTTATAATGTTTATACTTTTTCCTAACACATTAGATTTACCCTCTCACTTGGCACCTTTACTTGGTCATGCCCTATACATGGGTGACTTATGACATCTTATGCCCGGTCATGACCCTATACAAGGTTGGCTCATGACATCTAGTCCATACACTTGGTATTATCACTCTTGGAGGATATTGTAGAAGATCTCTCATTAGTATTCATAGAAGTTTATGAGAAGATCTTTTATTAGTATCTATAGAAGTTTATGTTAGAAAATTTAAGAAAATAAAAAGAATAAGAATGAAGAAATATGACTTTTAGGTGTGAATAATACTATTTTAAAGGTAATTATGACTATAGGATACAACAAAATTTTAAACTCTCCAAATCAAAATTAGTGAAATTGGTCATATAGAAATATCTATTTATAATAAACAAATAGTTACAAATTTCTATTTTAAAAAATGACATGTGTAATCATATTTTTTAGTAAAATAATTATGACTATTTGAACAATTATTTACTTTAAATAATTATGATATTTTATTTTATCATAAAATAATTATTTCTATTCATACAAGTTTATACTTTAAATAATATCAAAATCGATGTTAAATTATTATATTTTTATAGTAATTTTATCCCAATTTTGCCTTAAATTTTTTTATTTCTTTTTTTTTTTACTCTTAAAGTTATAGAGATTTTCATATCATTTGATCTTTTTTTTTTCATTTAGATTTTTCACTTAAAATTTTTTAAATAATTTTTTAATTTAATATAATAAATAAATAAATAGTATAACATTATTAAAATAATTTATCAATATATTTTTAGAGTAAAATCATAAATAATTATATATTTTTTATTTTTACTTCATTGGAGATACTGTTACCATTATTTTATTATCTAAACATATATCTTATCATTAATTTTAACTTTATTATTATAATAAATAATCTTATTATTATAGTAACTAATATTATTATTATTATTACTTTTAATCTCATCAAAACTACTTTTATCATTAATCTAAATTGATTTTACTATTATTTTTAATTTCATCAAAAATAATCTTACTCTTGCTAGCAAAGTAGATGAAACAGTCGGCCATTGAAAAGTAGAAACCATTGGATTCAACTTCAAAGCATTGCTTGCAATTTCCTTTGCCATAATGATTAATTGTTTGTGTAGGCTTGTGCCCCAAGCAGCTTCCATTCATTCGTCACTTTTGATTCTTTATACAATTACGGCCATCTTTGAATCGTCAATCGTCATTCCAAACGTCATTGTTTTCTCTATTTCCTAATTCCTATCTACTGTCCTGCATTATTTTATATATATCGTCTCATTTCCGAGCAATTTCTTGTCATTTCACTAATCCACATTGCATATGCCTCCAATAACTAAATAGTCCTCCGGTCTCCCACTCGCCTTATCACAGTTATCAGCTTTATACATTCGTTAGGTCTATTTCCTCTCTCAATAGCATAAGCTCCGATAGATCATCAATCTCAACCCAGTACAGTCTCTCAAGGTCAAGGGTACTCTAAGTCAATGGCAGCTTGCATCGACAATCCAAAATGTGAATCTGCCAATGGGTACTTGTGTTGTTTAGGATCCAACCAACGCCTAGCCCGTTGTTCTGTTTGCTGCAGGTTTGCCAAACTATGCGGACCAAGTTTCTCAAGTCTTGTTTCATGCAGAGCAATCAACTGGGTTAGCGTGAAAATTCCTGATATCGCAACGGTCTGTCCCTATGATGAGGGTAAGGATGAGCTATGGGTGAAAATTGGGGAGGAAGCTCAGTCTGATATAAAACAGGAACCAATCTTATTGAGTTATTATTCTTCTTTGGTATTGTCACACAGTTCACTGGAAAGTGCGTTGGCAAATCTCCTGGCAATGAAACTGGGCAATTCGAATATTTACAGGGATGCAGTTTTCAAAGTTTTCTTGGAAGTTTTTGATCGAGACCACGAGATGAAGAGAGCCATCAGAGATGATATCAGGGCTACAAAAGAACGCGACCCTGCTTGCATCAGTCATGTCCACTGCTTCCTACACTTTTAAGGGGTTTCAAGCTTGCCAAGCTCATACAGCGGCACATAAATTGTGGTCGTAGGGTAGGGTCAACTTGGCGCTACTAATACAGAGTCGGGTTTCTGAGGTATTTGCAGTAGACATCCACCCAGCGGCGAAGATTGGAAGGGGAATAGTACTTGATCATGCCACAGGAATTGTGATCGGAGAAACGGCAGTGATTGGGAACAATGTTACTATTCTGCACGATGTGACATTAGGTGGTACAGGAAAAGTTTGGGGAGACAGGCACCCTAAAATTGGCAATGGAGCCTTAGTAGGTGCAGGAACTAAAGTTTTGGGCAATATCAGAGTAGGAGAAGGGGCTAAAGTTGGTGCAGGTTCGGTGGTTCTAAAGGAGGTGCCACCAAAAGGTACTGCAGTTGGGAATCCGGCTAGATTAGTTACCCCGACCATTCAGGCAAATAGAGAATAGTTACCAGTAAAATGTTTGGTTTGGTTATTACTCATTTGATATTCTATAACCTCTGTGTTGCAGTCAGATATTTGAAATTTATTAATCGAGGACATCCAAAGTCGATTTACATTAAATCAAATGATTAAATTGGGAATTGAGAAATTTGACTTGCCAAAATTAATCATCAACTCCTACAAAAATGGGATTTAAAAAAAAAATTGTTTAGGCCAGAATACTAGATTTTGATTTTTGAACGAAAAATGATGGAATAAAAATATATAGAAAAAATAAAATAAAGGTAAAATTTTGGAACGGGGTGGGTGGTGAGTTCAATAGAAGCCATCCCGCGCCGTTCACGCCAAATCCAATTTTGAATCCAGACAGCGCCACACAGCCAACCTCAGCACGTGCCTGAATCCAAATTCAAAATTCTCTGACAATAATCCTCTTCCCCAAAGCACAACTTTCATCTCTTACCTTTAAAAAAAAAAAAACCTGTTTCACTTTAGCAACCTCAACAGAGCAAAGGCACTTATAAAACCTTAAACAGACATAGCTTTCAACTGCTGTTGCTCGTGTAAATGGCAACGCGCTATAAGTCGTACGATTCACGCCCCTCCACCTCCTCTTATTTCTCTGATCCCTCGGCATCTATAGAGCTGAACAATTCCTCTTCTTCCTCTCGAGCCATTGTGAAATCAAAACCATTGGATGTAGGTCAAGGCAGCCGCGGCGAGACCAAGGCCGCTGACCACAACTTGACGAACATGGTGAAGAGATTTATGGACAAGAAATCCACAAAGAAGACAATAGGGCAGCTGGTCATTCCATCCGATGTCCTAGCTGAGGATCTCAAGAAGACTGCAAGGAAGGGTGCTGCTTTCACGGCGTTGCAGAGGAAGCTGTTCGGGAAAGGCTCAGCCGATAAGGACAGGGACAAGGAGGAGGTGAAAGCCTTGACAGAGGTTAAAGGGAATACCAGGACGTTGGCCATGGTTTTGAGAAGTGAAAGGCAGCTCTTGAGTTCCAATAAAGAGCAGGAGATGGAGATTGCTGAGCTCAAGCTTCTGCTTCAAGACAAGAACAGAGAGGTGATTCGTGAGCACCTCCTTATGCCCCTGCCCATATCGTCATTACATTGTTAATATTTATTACTTTGTGCTTATTTAATTACCACAAAGAAACGCACAAATATATCAGATTAAATTCTAGAAAATGGACAATTGTTTTTGAATCCTAGAGATGTTAAAATATATGGCATTTGCAGGTTGAGAAGCTGAAAGATTTGTGCTTGAAACAGAGAGAAGAGATTAAATCATTGAAAAGTGCAATTTTGTTTCCGGATGTCATGAATTCTCAGCTTAAAGAGCTTGTAGAAAAACAGGGTTCAGAGCTGACACTAGCCAAACAACTAATCCCAACTCTCCAAAGACAGGTGACTTCTCTTACAGGACAACTCCAATGCCTTGCCCTGGACCTTGCTCAGGTAATCCACCCGAACTAACGCTTCTTTCAAAGCATTGAACATCAAATTATAGACTAATTAATCTTTAAAATTAACGATACTAGAAACGAAATTTGTTCTTGTTATTATGCTCGAAGGATTCATTCTGACCAAGAGTTATTAAAAGAACACTACATAGCTGTGGCTATTATCATAGCTTCAATAGAGAATGATGCATTCTCATAGCATATTATCTATATCAAATTAATGATGGATTTCTGCTGCTTTCCTCAAAAAATAAAAAAGTCTTAGCCCTATATGCAAGAGAATGCAATGAATTTGGTATTATCTGCTTGCTTAACTTGCTTGAAGTGTGCCATGAAAATTTTCCGGTAACTACCTATCATAAGCAAAGAAACAATATCATTTCAAATAAGTAAAAACCATTACAGGGAATCCTTTCGTTAACATGTGCTTGAACAGGTGAAGGCAGATAAGCATTCTACCAGGGCATGTCACCAGCGGCATGGCAGCTCCCCCAGGACATCCAGATATGATCCTTCTGATTTTTTGGTAAGACTTTAGATTCTATACTAATAACTAATACTATTATTTAAACATAAATATAGTCACTGATTTTGTTAGTTCCTATCCTATCACTAGTGCAGGGACCATTTTCCTTAATAGAAATATTAAGTTGCTATCGACTGAAACTGAGATTATTTTCTTTTCCAATCCTAGTCTCGATAGCTTGTGAAAATTGGACTGCATGTGACCGAAGGGGTTCATTACTCTTGACTTCAGTGCTTCTACTGGTAATAATATAATGAACAATATTTCAGGAATTCAGTTCTGGCGATCCAACAACCCCTGGTAGTCCAGGTGACTTATTCCTCGAAGATTTAAATCCCTGTTTAACACCTTATTTTGCCAAGACAAAATCCAAGGTAAACGACAATCTTAAAATTTTTAATGATATTCATCTCCATTAGGAGGTACCCTGTCTTCTTACCTCCAGCCAATGAAATGAGAAATAGTTGCTTGAATGAAAAATCTTGCAGGAATTTAATGAGATTGGCTATGACTTGCCACATGATGAAACCTTATCTGAGAACAATAAACAAACGTTCAATGAGCTTGGATTCAGTTTTTGTAGCAAGAAGTTGTCCAGAAGTTCAGATTGCTACCGGGATTCCAATAGAGGAAGCTCCATGGCCCGGAGCAGTCGCAGATCAGATGAAAGCACAGGCTTAGACCAAAAGCAAATGCATCATAAACCTTTCTAATTGCTTGGTGGCACTCAGTTGAGCATTTCTTTTGTTTGTCCTTTTTGGAAGATTATGGATCGTAGTTTTGGTTTGAGTCAAACTTGTTAGCTCAAGGTGTACACGGAATGATTTAAGCGATAAGGGGTAGAAATTTTATTAAGTTCTCGTTGCGGATCAATTATGGTTGTGGGCTACATACAATGTGATGTCAATGAAATGTAATAGTAATTTCGTTTCAATGTTTATAGAATAAACTATTTTGAGTAAAAAGTAGTAGCCAAATTATTCTGTATTATTTACCAAGTGTAAGAGGTAGTACAATTTCCTAGCCCTAAGGCCGTTAATCAGCTCGACAATACGCTGCCTTGCCTGGATGAGTGGAGAACTGGAGATGCATTTTCATTCTCCACTTCCTCGATAGTGTATCAAAGAGTGTCAAAGCGTTCTCTAACTATGGGAGCCCCTACGCACATATACATAAGACCTAAACTGTAAAAATACAACTAGAAAACCTTGTATGCTTTAGTTGGGGTCAGGTGTTTTTTTTTTTTTGGTTATGGGCTAGGGTATTGGTGCGTGGAACAAGCTTTCAGAAATGCAAGAGTGGAGGCCAGAATTTATTAAATCAAACAAGATGTATAACATCAGTTGTACAACAATGGTATTTTGCCAATTAAGACAAGTCATTACATGATTTACGGACCTCCGTCTTATTCTTTCCCAGCTCCTCAAGCCATGCCTTTGCTAGTCGCTGTCCTAATTATCTGAAAAAGAGCTGCCAAGGAAATAAAAAAAAAAATTGAAAGGGATCATTTGGTCAACCAAAACATGCAACTAAAAATCATTGTTACAAATTAAAAAGCTTTACAACTTAGAGAGATATCCCAAACAGATCAATCTATTTAGGGTGGAATTTAAGAGTTTATTTTCGCAAGTGAAAGTGTGAAAATCTTCTGCTGCCCACTACACATTAACCTTTTGGAGAGCAATCCAGCAAAATATTATTAGTAAGGAAGATAGAAAGAGAGCATACATGATCCAACAACCACAAAGACAAAGAAGCCCAGAAGAATTGGGCCAACAGGGTACCCGTATCCTTTCTTTGTTGAGCTTTCCACGGATCCCTTCTTTGTGATGTTTCTCTGAAACTTTGCAACCTTCCTTTCCGCAATGCGTTTTGAGGTAGTCTGTCAAATGTCAATAATGCCAATTATAGCTAGATAAATTTCTTTAGGCTTGAGAGAACTAGTGGGCAAAAACTAGGACAATTATCCACTTTCAAAATTCAAAGGTCATCATATCAAAGTTTTCCTTGATAAAATCTCTTGGTATATTTGCATTATGCAACAGAACATTAGTAAAAGAAAACGGAAACATCTAGACGCAGCAAAATCAACATGCAATCATAAATACTTTCTCGTTGATTCGAGTTGATAAAATCATCAAAAGGAAAAATGAATAATTCACAAAAAAAAAGAAACGAAGGCAAGTTCAAACAAGAACAGAGAATATTAATTGACCACTACACTTACGTACGACGTCAAGACAAGAAAAGAACACAAGTGAAGATAAATTTTAAGAAAAAAAAAGGGTGAAGCTTACCATTTTTTTCAAAATGGTGTTTGCGTTCGCTGAAGCAGCAGCGAGGTTTGTGCGAGGGAGAAGAAAGAGGAAGGAGAGGGGGCTGACAGGTGACAGCAGTCGTTTTCTAAGGAAAACATGGGGCTGGTTGTCCCTGGTTTTCTCTTTGTACGTGGTTACAACGAGGCCTGGGACCGTTACTTCGCTATTTTTTTACTTGTCTTGGGAAATAAGTACTTCAGTTCTGTTTTCATTTTGTTATATTTTCCTTTTATGATTGTTTTTTATTCGATACTGTTATTAATTAAGTACGATTCAGTAAAACCGCCAATAAAAAAAAAGTTTAATAACATTTGTAATTTTTAAATTTTGATTGCCTAAAAACTATCTTATTTTGATTATTTCGTATATGAAATCATATAAATTAACGACAACTATTAATTAACATTATAAAATGATGTCAATTAACATTTCACATAACAGATTAGGGATTAAAATAAAATTTTCTCAAAATTTATAAATTAAAGATGAAATTATTTCAAAATTTTATATGTTTCATATATTTTTATAAAATATTAAATTTAAAAATATATTTTTACATTTTTAATGTAATTTATTAGTTATATTTTTGTTTTTAATAGAAAATAATTTTTTAAAAATTAAAATTAAGTTAAAAATTTAAATTCCTTTTTTTTAATTCAATATCATTTTAAAAACAAAATAAGTAATTTTCTTATAAAAATATTATTGTACTCATAAATCATAATAAAAATATTATTTTTATCCATAAAATATGTTTTTTAAAATATTAAATATATTTTATTTTCCTTTTTAAATTTATTTTATAAAAAATAAATAAAGGAATAGATAAAAATAATTCAAGAAAATTTTGATTTTTATATATTTCAAATAAATTTTATAAAATATTATAATCTAAATATTTTTTAATTTTTATTATGATATGATTTATCAATAAAATAATATTTTTAATAGAAAATAGATTTCAATAAAATTAAAATTAAGCTGAACATTGAAAACAAATTTGTTAAAATTACATACCATTTTAAAAAATTAAGTAAAAATTTTTATATCAATTTAAAAAATTAAATAAAAACTCTATATCATGTTAAAATTTTATGTAAAAATTTTTAAATCATTTTCATAAACAGATTTATTAATCTATTAAAAATATAAAAACTTTATATTCATATAAAATAAAAAATATAATTTAAAATATTTTTTTATTTTTTATTTTTTTCTAAAATGTATTTTATAAAATATATTTAAAAAGGAAAAATAAAGGATATTTAATATTTAAAAAATAAATTTTTTGGATAGATAATAATATATTTTATTATAACTTATAAGTAAAATAATATTTTTAATAAAATTTTTTTTAAATGTATTAAATATTTTAAAAAGGAATTTAAAAATTTTAACTTAATTTTAAGTTTTGAACACCTATTTTCTATTTATAACAAAAATCTATTTAATAAGTTATATTATAAAAAACATGCAAATATAATTTAAAATTAGTATTTTTATAAGACATATATGAAATATATAAAATTTTAAGATAGTTTCGTCTTTGGTCCCTAAACTTTGATAGAATTTTATTTCGGTCTGTTATTTATCATGTAAAATGTTAGCTGATGTCGTCACGTGATGTCAACTAATATTTACCAATCAATATAAATGATTCTATAAACGGAAGGGTCAAAATAAGACAATTTTGAGCCATTAAAAATCCAATTAAAGCTTTTTAAAGTTTAGGAATATAGTAAAATTTAAGTCAAAATTTAGGGATTATAAATGCTATTAACCATAAAAGAAACTACTTGAATTTTTTTCCTATTTCCTTCCATTTATGGGAGAAAATAATTATAGTAAAAACAGTAGTTGGATTCTTGCTTAAATCCTAATTATTTGCTTTCCATTTTTGTTTTTCTTGCAACTCTTTTTTAGTTTTTTTGTTATTCTAACCTATCCCCACTCTAATCTTTCCATAGAAAGCTTTAAAAGGATTTTTTTTTTCATTTAGAAATAAATAATTTTATTACCAAATGTTATAAATATATATTTAAAATCATATACTCTTTTTGTCTCATTTTCTTTCTCCATCTTTCTTTTTTGGGATATCTCAAAATTATGTTATATTTTTTTTAACATCTAAAAGTCTTATTTTTTTTTATATTTTAAAATTTTTTTTTATATTTTTTTACTTAAGTTAATAGCATTCCTAGTTCCTAAATTTTGTCTCAAATTCTATTTTGGTCTTTAAACTTTAAAAATTTTATTTGGATCTCTAATTACCTAAAATTGTCTTATTTTGGTCATTCCATTTATTAAACCATCTAAATTAACTACAGATGTTAGCTAGCACCACATGATAACATCAACTAGTATCCCATGTGGTAGATGAATGATCAAAATAGAATTCTTTTAAAGTTTAGGGATAAAAGCCAAAATTCCCTCAAAATTTTATATATATTTCATAACATATTAAATTTAAAATTATATTTTTATTTTTAATAGAAAATAGTTTTTTAAAAATTAAAATTAAGTTAAAATTCCAATTTTTTAAAAGAAGATTCAATATCATTTTTAAAATAAAAAAGTTATTTTCTATTAAAAATATTATTTTATTCATAAATCATAACAAAAATATTATTTTCTATCCATAAAAATAAATTTTAAAATATTAAATATCTTTTTTTTTCCTTTTTTAAATTTATTTTATAAAAAATAAATAAAGGACAAGATAAAAATAATTCAAGAAAATTTTGATTTTTATATATTTCAAATTTATTTTATAAAATATTATAATTTAAAATATTTTTTAATTTTTATTATGATACGATTTATCAATAAAATAGTATTTTTAATAGAAAATAGATTTTTTTAAAAAAATTTAAATTAAGTTGAAAATTTGAAAATAAGTTTATTAAAATTACATATCATTTTAAAAAATTAAGTAAAAAACTTTTATATAGGTTTAAGAAATTAAATAAAAACTCTATATCATGTCAAAATATCATGTAAAATTTTTTAGATCATTTTCAAAAATAGATTTATTAATCTATTGAAAAATATAAAAACTTTATATTCATATAAAATAAAAAATATAATTTAAAACATTTTTTATTTTCTATTTTTTATAAAATATATTTAAAAAGGAAAAATAAAAGATATTTAATATTTTAAAAAAATAAATTTTTTGGATTGAAAATAATATATTTTATTAATACTTATGAGTAAAATAATATTTTTAATAAAATATATACTTTTTAAACTGCATTAAAGTTTTAGAAAAGGAATTAAAAATTTTTAACTTAATTTTAAGTTTTGAATATTTATTTTCTATTTAAAACAAAAATCTGTCTAATAGGTTATATTATAAAAATAAGCAAATATAATTTAAAATTAATATTTCTATGAGACATATATGAAATATATAAAATTTTGATATGGTTTTGTCTTTCGCATCTAAATTTTAAATGAATTCTATATTGGTCCCTCATTTGCCACATAAGATATTAGTTGATGTCATCATACGGTGCTAGCTGGCATTTATCATTAATTTAGATGATTCTGCAGATGAAAAAACTAAAATAAGGTAGTTTTAGACAATTAAGGAATCATTTAGAACTTTTTAAAGTTTAGAGACCAAAATTAAAATTTAGGTTAAAGTTTAGGGGTTATAGCTGCTATTAACCCTTTTTACTTTTTAACATTAAAAATAATGAAATTTTAATTTTATAAAAAAATTTAATTTTAATATTAAATACATTTAAGTTAAAACTTTTTCTTAAATTTCATAAAAATCAATATATGATAAATATTTTAAGATAGAAGGAGTATATTACGTTATTTGATAAGATTTATTTATGTGGATGCTTAATTAGATGCTTTATTTATTTGACCATAAGAAATTTGAAATGTAGGACAAATCTTATTTTTATGTTATTTATCAATTAAATAAAAATTAAATATATTATTAGTATAATTTTTTAATTTTATAAGTAAAGTTAATAGCATGACGTATGTACTTACTGTATAATTTTTTACAAGACGTATCCATCTCTTCATAGTAGATCATGTTTTTACAAGGGGGCATTACTGTATAATTTTTTTTAATATGTTAATTGGTAATATCTTTTTTATTTATATGATTTTGCTTAGTGAAAATTTTATCAATTAATTAAATATGTGTATTGAATACTGGATTACTTTCATGGCAAGTAAAAGTAGGCACTTCTTCATTAAATAATATATTTGGACGTTCCTCTAAAAGACTATTATATGTATATTCAATTTCTTTTTTGCTTTTTATCCATATATAATATATCCTTTTTTTTTTTTTTACATTTGTTTTTAGTATTTTGTTTAAATTATAATAACAAAGTTTAATACATGTTAATTGAATATATATATATATATATATATTATATCATAAAATTAAAGATTTAGAGATAATTATGAAGAAATTACAAATTTTAGGTGTGAACACATTTAAATAATAAAATAACACATGTATGGTTACAAATTAGTTATTATATATAATATTTTTACTCAATACAACAAAAATTATATACAAAATTATTAATTATTATATTTAATATATATAAGTTATATAGGTACGATTACTATTGAGATGCTACTGTCGTTTTGCTATTTATTTTTTATTTTTTTACCTTTGCTTTTTTTTATTATATTTAATACATATTTTTAAATTATCAAAAAAATATTTTTTATAGAATTAATTTTCTGTGTGTGTGATATCCACTTACACTAAATTTTTTAAAAATATTTTTCCTTTTTCCTTTTTCCCTTTCTTTACTTTTTTTCCTTTTTCTTTTTAAATATTTAATAAATATTTTTATTTTAATTTTTTCTTGTGTGAGATTCATTTGCTACCAAAAGTATTCGACGTTTTTTTTTTCTTTTTGTACTTTTTTTATGCTCCATTTTTTATATTTTTAATAAATAATTTTTAAAATTATAATTTTTTTGTAAGACCCACTTAAATATATGCTATGTGTCAAGTCATTTAATTCTTTTTTTTCTCTCTAGTTTTTTATTTTTCTATTTACTTTTTCTTTTTTTTCTCCTTTTTATAGTTAATAAATATTGCTAAATATTTTAAACTTTTTTTAATAAGGGGTCATTTGATATTATTATTAAAAATATATATTTTTAATTTTTTTAATT